TGCTCCGTAGGTTCCTGCCTCCTGCAGCGTCTGCTGCCCTGGGAATAAACCGGGGCAGGGCTTTACGGGCAGCTCGGCCCCCGGTCCCAGCCAGATTTCCGCCCCGCGCGGCGCAGGGAGCGCGGCAGCCCGGGCGAGGAGCAGGGGCAGGGCCAGCGCAGCCCTAGGGCTGAGCCCGCATTCATCGCCTGTGCGGGGGGGCAGTTCCTTCTGGCTGGCATCACGGCCAGCGCCGCGAATGCCGCAGGCGGGAAAAACCCACCCGGGAGCGAATAGCACAGCGGTGAGGCGGGGTGTAAATGCAGGAGAACTGCGTGTCTCTCAGTGGCTTTGTGTTGAGCAGATGTCAGCTTTGGGGCCAAGCGGAAGACATTTTCATGACATTCCTTTGCCTTCTTCCTAGGACCGGAACACTGGCACAAATATTACCCTATTGCCAGTGGAGACCATCAATCACCTATTGAAATCAATTCCAAAGAGGTCCAGCACGACCCCTCTTTGCCCCCTTGGTTTGTTGGGTATGATCCCGGTGCAGCGAAGACCATACTGAACAACGGGCGAACCTGCCGAGTTGTGTTTGATGACACCTTTGATAGATCAGGTTAGTTTTACTTGTATCTTAAGAAGTTATTCTGAATTAGTTAATGGTTACAAAGTGCTTGGAAGACAGCCTGTGTATTGCTTGCTAATTACTGCCGAAGGGTCTCTACAAAGACCAGCAGAGAAGGCCACATTAGGGCTAGAATGGGGGATAAACTATGACCTGCATTTGAGAAGATCCAGTTGCCCCAGTTCTCAACACAACTGGAGCAGGAAGATTGTGACTCTTATAGCAGTGCTTACCTATAAGTTTGGTATGGGCAGGTATGGAATCTTGGCCCTGGGTTTGAAGATGAATTTCCCCTTCTCTGTCACTCTGCACTTAATATTGAGCCAAATCCTTAGGCTTTCAATGAAGGGTGTTCAGGTGCACAGCTGGAATGCTTTGGAAAGGCAAGGTACCATTTCTGAAAAGTGTAAAGCAATGCAGTTACATAGATAAACCTCAAATCCCACTGTCCTTGCTTAAGCAAGATGCCCATTGACATAAATGAGATTTTTACTTGATAGGATAGCAGGATTAAGCCCATGCTGTTTCTGCTAAATTAGACTGCAAGAACAAAAGGAAAAGGCTGAAAATTTTCAGTTTAAAATGAGCTTCTTTAAAGCAAACATTAGCACTGTTATTAATCATTACTCTTACTAACCTGGTCATCCACAAATACTTTACCACTGCATGCAATATGCTGCATATTTATTCTGTGACTCTTAATTGTTGGAGTGGCCATACATTTTGACTAGAGATACTACTGCTGCTTAACAAGTGCTAGAAATATTTAGCATCTGTTGACTAAACCACTGAAATTTCAGATTGATTCAGCACTTCATAGAAAAAAGTAACTTGCAAGAAGCTGTGAAATTTCTTAACTACTGTACTAAAAAGGAATCAGATGAATAATATTGCAACTTAAATTTTCGCATCTCTAGAAATCAAATGGTTCTAAATTTCCATCGTTGCAAAGCTTTTAGTGCGTAGTCCTGAAGGCAGACTAGCAATAATTACCAATGCCTCAGCCAGCTTTGGAAAAGATATACAATATTTGGACACAAGGCTGCAGTCTTCATACTTGTATGTAAAGTCTGCAGGATTTTGCCATGTATTTGTAATACGTGCCAAGCAACAGCAAGGAAGAGCAAGTATGCACATTTTATGGGGTGAAAGACCAACCATATAGTAGTATAACATATGGGCTATGTCTAGACTACAGAGTTTTTTTGAAAAAAGTGTCTTTTTTCAAAAAAACTTCACCTGCATCTAGACTGCCATCATGTTCTTTTGAAATTAAATCGAAAGAATGTGGCGTTTTTTTCGACAGCAGTAAACCTGCTTTTATGAGGAAGAAGCCTTTTTTCAAAAGAGCTCTTTCGAAAAAAAGCATTCTTGAACGCAAAAAGGGCTTTTTCAAAAGAGAGCGTCCAGATTGGCTGGGTGCTCTCTTTCGAAAAATTAGATGGCTTTTTCGAAATTCTTGTGGCTGTCTGGCCGATCTCTTTCAAAAGAGCTCTTTCTAAAAAGCCTCTCTCGAAAGAAGCTTGTAGTCTAGATGTATGGTGTTGTTTCTAAACTATAGTAAATTTCAGCTACTGTTACTGTATTGTTAATAGGGATAGTCATACTTAGTGAGAGGAATTTTGCTAAGAGACTCAATGTTCTTATGTATTTAAGTGCAGAGTGCATCTTAATTTTGATTTTCTTTCAATGAACACAAATCCAAAGTCTAAATATGTCTAAATATGAAGTTATCCAATAAAATAAAAAACATAACTATACAAAAGACTGGGAACAGTTGAAGCAGAACTTTGATTAGTTCTCTAGCAATATGGAAAACATCTACTTCCTGAAGATCATTTATAATTTCTACCTAACGTATTATTTATTTATTTGCATTAGATTACTTTTGGTGGCATTTGCATTGGAATTCTATTCTTGATGAGCCACATGTATCCATCTGTACATTGCATCCACTTGTCATTGTCTCTCATTTTTTATTTGGTGTTAAACTCTTCAGGGCTCTTCATTTATGTATTTGTACATTGTCTAGTACTGCCAAGCCTTGATTTATGACTGCAGTCCTGAGACAGTATTGTCATACAAATAAATACTACTACTTATTAACAATAACTTTAGTTAATATATAAAATACCTAGCCACAAGCAATATACAGCGTTGATGCCATACTTGGTGGTGTAAAGAGATTTTGATGATAGTCTGAATTTCACACAGATTAACTGTTCTCTAAGGGTACACTATGCAGAAGATCGACACTGCCAGGATCGAACTTCCGGGGTTTGATTTAGCGGGTCTAGTAAAGACCCACTAGATCGAACTCAAAGGGCTCTGGTACTCCTGCATCTCAAGAGGAATAAGGGAAGCCAATGGGATCATTTGCTCCCATCAGTCTCTTGGGGTGCATCTACACAGCAGGGCTTAACTCGAAATAAACTATACAAATTGAGCTACATAGCTTATTTCAAAATTGGGAGCATCTACATAGCACTTATTTCAAAATAAAGCACTCTTTCTCTGATTTCTCTTACTCCTCATACAATGAGGGTTACAGGAGTCAGAGTAAGAAGCCCTCCAGCTTGACAGTATTTTAACATTTTTATGAAATAACTGCCTGCTGTATAGACGTGGACTAAATGATTTCAAAATAACGCTAGTTATTTCAAAATAATGTTGCTGTGTAGATGTACCCTTACTGTATGGATGGCATGGAAACGCGATGTAAGCTATGTTGACATCAGCTACGTAATTTATGTAGCTGGAGTTGTGTATGTTATTTCTACCTTTCCATGTAGTGTAGACCAGGCCAATGTATTTGATTCTGATCTGAGAGAGAAAAAGTGACAGGTTAAAGAAGGTCAACTTTAGAACATTGTATGGGCAGAAAAATGCTCATTTCACACTGCTTATCAGATCTGTGTTTGCAGATGCATCTGTGGATGGGGTTCAGGGTATAATAATGTTAATAATAGGACAGATCCAGATGTCCTTCTTCCTATTGAATTCAGCCTCCATTCTGAATTCCTTAGAACAGGAGCTCAGTCTTCATTCTCCACCTAAGGAACAATATATAAATGTTAAATAACAACAATAATAAATTAAGACCTCAGGATTTTACCCAAAATAACAATATAATTCTTATAATATAAATAAGTTCAAATCACAACATTTAGATATTGTTTCATTTTCTTAAATTTTCCAGTAAACATGGCCATGCCCATATCTATGACCATTTATAGCCACACATAAATGGCATCTGATGAAGCTTTCTATGGTATACATATCAGGACGAGACAGTACATTGCAAATACATGTAAAAAAAGTGATGAGGAGTCCTGTGGCACCTTATAGACTAACAGATTTATTGGAGCATAAGCTTTCGTGGTCAAAGACCCACTTCGTCAGGTGCATGTAGTGGAAATTCCAGATGCAGTTATAAATATACAGGCATATATAGGTATAAATATACTCCTCTTTGCTTTTGCAGATTCACACTAACACGGCTACCCTTCTGATATGTAAAAAAGTATATTTTTATGTACTTTTTAGTACCTCTCCTGCATTATGCCATCTCTGCCAGCAATACTTCTAATGTGCCAGTTTCTAAACAACTTTTTTAAAGCCCAAACTAAGTGAAAGACAGCAGTGGAAGTACTCATAGATTCACAGGTTCATAGATTTCAAGGCCAGAAAGACCCATTGTGATCATCTACTCTGACCTGTTGTGTAGCACAGGCTACAAAGCACCCCCAAAATAAATCCCAGAGTATATCTACAATGGCATCAAGGGCTCTGCCAGCTCCACTCCCAGGACCAGGGCCCCACTCTCAGGGAGCTGACTGCTTTTGTTGTGGGCTATGCATTAGGAGTAGAGCCTTCAGCAGGGGTAGCCAGCTTCCAGGATCTGGCGTTTTCTGGGAATGCAGAGCCCACAGCGGGCTGTATATCACCAGGTAAAACAGTTAACATGTAACCGATAGGAATTTTATTGGTTACATGGTTACCATTTTAAACAAATTTTTACATTCCTAGGTTGGATCCACAGAATCGGATCAATTAAGCTTTAGATCAGAACTACGTGCTATTCAAAATTTGAATTTTGGGATTGAGAGTTTTGTTGGTTAAAGAACAGTTACAATTAATGGGCAACGATGTGAGGGGCTTGGAGAAAAAGTCCTGGACAATTTGTGTTTAAAATAAGGAATATCCTGATTGTTACAGTTTATATACTTTGCTTGCATTTTGAATTTGTCTTGCTTCAACTCCCAGCCACTGGATCATCTTTCTCATCTGGATTGAAAAGCCCATAAATAAGTATTTGTTTTCCATGTAGGTACATACTGACTGTGATCAAGTCACCCCTTGATCATCTGGTTTTTAGTATTAATAAATTTAGTTCCTTGAGTCTATCACTGTAAGGCATGTTTGCTAATGCTTTAGTCATTCTCTGACTCCTCTGAACTCTCTACAGTCTATCAGCATCTTTCCTGAGCTGTGGTACGCTAGAGCTAGTCAGGTTATTGCAGGAGTGGTTATGTACAGTACATTCTCTTGGAAATAGACCTTGATTGTTCCAAGGTTAAAGTTACCCCAGGAAGGCACCAGTGTCTCCCCTGAGCCTCCATGTGCAAATTCTCTGGCCATCTGCACTGCCATCCTCTTGCTGTTGACTTTCTGCCAGCTGCAGGACAGGAGCATGGAGCTTCACAGTTCAGACATATTTTCCTGCAAACTTCCTCTGTGTTCCTGCATGACTTTCCACTGTTGCATTATAGCTCTTCATAGGAATGTTTCTCTTTAGAAGAAGTCCATGCATAATCCTGATAGCAACTGAATTTTAAAGTAAAAATTGTATATGCATTTCATGAGGAATATTTTACAACTTTTGATAAATGAATGTTCACTTGTTGAGTTCTGAAGTTATAGAAAAAATAAGGATAAAAATAATAATTAGAAACTCTGTTTTTAACCTGAAAAAAATCTGGCATAAGAACAGCTTTGATTTTGTTCTAATCCTTTAGAACGTTAACCAAACCATTTGTAAGTTAGAGAGAACCAAAAATCAAAAGATACTTTTTTAAAGTGCTACAGTCTATTCTAGACCCACATCTCACATTACAGGGATACAACATTATCTAGTTATTAACTGATTTTCCTGCTCTGCCAGTGATTTGCTGTCTGACTTTGGTAAGCCATTTAGCCTTTGTCACAGTTTCCCCGTATGCAAAATTGAAATGGGATCCTTCAGAGGATCCTTTGAATCTGCTTTCCAACTTCCTGTGTCCGTTCCATTGAGATATGTCCTTGTCCTTGTCTCTTCTCCCTCTACATTTTATCCATAGTTAATTTAATCTATACCACTAATTCAGCTACCATCTCTATGCTGGTGACCTACATATCTTCCTCTCTTTTCCTGTTGAGATTAAAATCTGGCCTGTCTCTCAACCATCTCATGGATTCATAGCTATTAATTCAAACTCAACAAGGCACAAACAGAACTACTAATCTTCACCTTCTTCTCCCCTTAACCTTAGATCTCCCTATTACCTGCTTTCTCAGGCAGTGTGGACAACATCATTATTTTGCCTGTCATTCAGACACATGACCTGGGTTCCATCTTTGATTCACACCCTTATCTAGATCCTCACATCCAGGCTAGGTCTAAGTCTGGTCAGTTCTTCCTGCATAACATCTCTTATGTGCAGTTGTTCTTATCCATCCACACAGCAGAACTAAGGACGTTAAGGACTAGTCGATTATCCAGTAAGATAGTCTATCAGATAGAGACAGCAAAGGGGGGGGAAGAGGGTGTACTTCAAAGTGGCAGTGCTTCATGGAACCCAGGGTATGGGCTTCAAACCATGGCAGTGTTTCAAAGGAGCAGCATTGCACAGCTGATCCTGAGCTCTGTGCAGCTCTACTCCTTTTAAGCTCTGCTGCGGTATTTCAAAGCAACAGTACTGCATTGAGCTGAGCCTGGATCAGCTGAGCCTGGGATCAGCTGTGCTGTGTTGCCCCTTTGAAATGCTGTCACAGCATTTCAAAGCAGCAGCACCGCGTGGAGCCTGGGGTCAGCTGGGGATTCCCTTGCTGAACCCGAGCACCGTGTGGCATTTCCCCGGAACCCGGAGTCTGCTGGGAAGTCCCCAGCTGATCCCAGGGTCAATGCAGTGCTGCTGCTTTGAAGTGCACAAGCACCCCCGCTGGAGACTCTTGTACATTTCAAAGCTGACATGCCATGTGCAGCTCGGGGCCAGCGGGAAGTCCTGCTGACTGTGGACTCCACGTGAGTGCTTCCTCTTTGAAATGCACAAGAGCTTGGAGGACTCCCCCAAGCTCTTGTGCATTTCCAAGTGTGTGGAGCCCAGGGTCAGAGGGACTTCCCGCTGGCCTGGGCTGCACGCAGAGTCCCAACTTTGAAATACATAATAGCCCCCACTGGGGCTCTTGTATATTTCAAAGGAGGAATGCAGAAGTGCCTATCAACTAGTCAACTAGTAAATTAATCGATCTTTAACATCCTTAAGCAGAACCACTCATCCAAGCTCTCATCATCTTTTGTCTTGACTACTGCAATATCCTTCTCTTAGGCCTTCACAGATACACTCTTGCCCTCCTCAAATGCATTCAGAAAGTTGCAGCAAGGATTGTTTTCCTAGTCTGTTGTTTTAATCATGTCTTCCTTATCTTTGCATCTTTTCACTGGCTCCCCCTTCTCTCTCTCATAAAATATGTTATCTTAACTTTCAAGGCCTTTTATGACATAATTCCACCATATCTGTTATCTCTCTTTCACCATCAAACTGTTAGTACTTGCTGCCAAATGACTAAGACACTTATTTCCATTGCCCTTTTGTTCCGTTTTTAAGCCAGCACCTTCAAACTTTCTCTCATGCTGCCCCTTATGCTTAAGAGGTGCTCACCATAAACATCCACAAAGCTAATTCATTATCCACCTTCAAAATTCTCCTCCAAATGCTTCTTTGACGTGATGACTACCAAAAACTTAAAACGGTTAGTCTGCTGGTATGATGACACCACTGCCTGCCTCATGATTTCCTTGCATTCCCCCTTTTCTCTGCATCCATCTGTTGTCTCTTGCCATATTTAGCCTGAAAGCTCCTTGGGACAGGGGCCATCTTTTTGTTCTGTGTTTGTACAGCGCTTAGCCTGGTCCATGTCTTGGGTTTCTAGGCACTATATTATGTACAGATAAATATTTATTTATCTTTGCATAGCATTTTGAGATCCTTTTATAAAAGGCTTTATGTATCTGCAAATTATTTATGATGGTTTATTTATATGTTACTGAAGTCAATAAGACGCATAAGAATTATACAGCTAAAGGCCAGTACAATGTTTTTCTTACGTACCCTAGTGGATAAGGCACATGCCAGGTAAAGACAAACTGCAAAGTTAAGCCTGTCAGTTTGTACTTAGCACAATTTTTATCCCTAGGTATTCCAGCATGTCTGGTATTTAGTATTAATTTGAGACCAATAGTGCTTATGCACTAGAGGATTTAAGAATTGTATTAATGTTAACGTTGAGCCTCCATAATATTGTTGGAGGTCAGAACTTCAGTGTTCTGCAGACAAGGTCTTCTGGGACTGCAGCACTAGCTTGGGTTATTAGTTTTCTGCTTCTGGAGTCATGGGTTGCATTCATGCCTTAAGTCAAAATGAAAATGGTGCTGGGAGCTTATTTTATGCTAGTGACTGATCAAAACAGGCCCAGAATTGAAAGGTAGTATAAGGTAAAACTACCCTTGCGAGATTATATCCTTATCTAGAAATGGTCAGAAGGGACCTCTACTGGTATTGTCAAAATATGTCTCGTTGCCTCTGTTTTCTCTGAAGTAAGTAGGACCAGGGAATTTGGAATGCTGACTGCCCTATCCAGATTAATACAGTTTAATAAAAATATTGTGGCGATCTGAGTCTTTTACTAAATCGCTTAGCCTCTATGGACAAAGTCTAAGGAAATATCAGAAAAACATCTGTAAAACTGGTATATATCCTACTGCTATCAGAGTAGTAGAATTGCATTGCATTTCTTAAAACTGAGGGAACCCTGGAAGATGAAATATCTCAAAGGGTATGAATTTCTTCAGTTTCTTCAGTTTTGGAAAACTATGACCTTAAAAGTTTGTCCTCTTGTACTGAATCAAAGTTTCCTTAAAAAGGTCTGTTCCTAATGTTAAATGTAAATTATCAATTGCAGTTCTGCGAGGTGGACCACTCCCAGGACCCTACAGGCTGCGTCAGCTTCACTTTCATTGGGGTTCTTCTGATGACCACGGCTCTGAGCATGTTGTAGATGGAGTGAAATATGCAGCTGAGGTGGGACCTAGTTTTGTCTATTCTAGTGCACTGGGCAGTTGGGCAACATTTACTACTTTCCTTTTCAAGTATTTATTTGTAGTTATTGATTTATGCATGAAATATGTTATTGCTGTTACTACTCATAAATTAGTCCTGTGGTCAATCATTGCTGCCAACAAAAACAGCTTTTCATAAACAAAAATACAATCCCAAGCCTGCCTCCTACCAGAACTATAAATATTTGTAAACATGCCCCTGCCTTAAAATCACCATTTTCAGTGAGATCTTTTTGCAGCAAACAAAACTTTGGTAGCAGTATTTTATGTTTTCTCAAACTTATAATAATGTAATTTTTTTCTGGATTTTATGGGTCACTAGGGGGCATATCTACACAGCAGGGCTTAACTCAAAATAAGCTACGCATATTGAGCTTTGTCACTTGCGTAGATTATTTCAGAATAGCTTATTTAGAGTTTAGGTGCTGTCTACACAGCATTGATTTCAAAATAGAGCAATCTTCCTCCAACTGCCCTTACTTCTCACAAAATGAGGGTTATAGAATTTAGAGCAAGAAGTCCTCCAGCTTGACGATATTTTGACATTATGTTGAAACAACTGCTGGCTGTGTAGACCTAGACTATGCTATTTTGAAATAATGCTATTTATTTAACAATAATGTTGCTGTGTAGACATAACCTAGTAGGTTTTGGTATATATTTCATTATTTGTAAAATTAGAGCCCCAGGATTTATTTTTTCAGATGCATTACCAGTTGAAGGGAGGACTTTATTACAAGGACATTTCAATTAGTTGAGGTCCAAAATCTACCTTAAAAGTGGTGGAGTGGAGAATATCCTTCATATTCTAAATATGTTTTTTAAAATGTATTAGTGTATTCTCAAGAATTGTTTTAAATAAATATTTGTTGATATTTTGGTGTAAACACACAAACTGTTATGGGACAAACTCATTGTAGTTAATGGCTGAATTTGACCCAGTGTGTAATCAGTGTGGGCTTAAGCTCTGTTCACAATAAATTAATAACAAATTCTGCCTTCTTTCCATCTCATATATAGGAGGACATGTAAGTCTCAAACTACGATAGAAATAGCATGTTTACTCTCTATGTGGATTCATGTAGTAGCCTGCTAGTGTTTCTTCCAATATATATTGTGGCTCTACAACAACTCCCATCTGGAAGAAATGGTGGCAGGCAAGATAAATATCATATATCCTATGGCCAAAAACTTGGGGGCAGGGGAAGGCATGCAGGCTGTGGGTGATTTTCTTCTTTCCCCCTTACGCTTTGTAGTATCAGCCATGGTCCAGTTTCATGGGTATCTCATTTATTACTAGGGGGTTGAGTGGGAGCATTCTGTCCTTCCAAACTTCTGTTCTATCAAGAAAAATCTTTTACTTTGCCTTCATTTGCAGGATTTTGTGGGGCCCAATTCTGTATTCCCTATGCATTCAAAGCTCTCACCTGGATTCACAAGGAATGCAGGTCTGGGCCAGTAATGGCTTTTTATTTTATAACAGGATTTATAACATTTACATTTCTTTGGTTCAAGCTACATATGGTACACTGGAATCCGAAATATAGTAATTTTGCTGGAGCTTTGAAACAACCTGATGGAGTGGCTGTCGTGGGCATTTTTCTTCAAGTGAGTTTGGAAATTTTCATTCTTTATTCTGTTGCACACCTCTATTCTTCTGCTAGCCTGCTTTACTTGTCAGCTGTATACCTATTGAGAGGATAATATTCAGAATGAAGCATAAATTGGGATTATATTAGGCCTAAATCCATATAAATTTAGTGCACTCTCACCGATAAAATAGACTTTTAGCACCATCCATAACATTCATACATGTGAGTGTCATACATGTATCTGAATAAGAATCCTGTTGAATTTAGCAATTGAGCTTTTGCTTGATCAGTGATCTCTCCTCTTTATTATTTTGCACTTCCCCTGTCTTTGTGGAAGATGTAAATTTTTTTCAATGATTTTATGTTGTCTTCCAGGGGTATCCCTGCAATACCCCACTAGAAATACATCTGCTTGATGATAATTTTCTGTTACCTTTTGAGACCTGTCAGTTAGCCAGCTGTTAATTCATTTAGTATGCACTATGTTGATTTTGTATTTTTAGTATCTTAATCAAATTGTCATGGGGAATTGAGTCAAATGCCTTATAAAAGTTTAAGTATGTTATATCAGCACTATTACTTGTAATCTTATGAAAAAAGATACCAAATTAGTTTGACAGGATCTGTTTTCCATAAACCCATGCTGATGGCCTTCATTATATTATCACCCTTTAAGTCTTTATTAATCACCTCAGGACAGGATGCGAAGATACAATTTCTTAATACCTTAAATGACTGCTTCTTGGAACAGCTGATTCTGGAACCCACAAGGGGAGAGGCAATTCTTGATTTAGTCTTAAGTGGAACACAGGTTCTGGCCCAAGGGGTAAATATAACTTGATCACTTGGAAATAGTGGCCATAATGTAATAAAATTTAACATCCCTGTGGTGGATAAAACTCCTCAGCAACCCAACACTGTTTCATTTCAGAAAAGGGAACTACACAAAAATAGGGAGGTTGGTTAAACAGAAATTAAAAGATACTGTGACAAAAGTAAAATCTCTGCAAGCTGCATGGAAACTTTTCAAAGACACCATATTTAAATTTATACCCCAAATTAAAAAAAACAAACCCAAACATATAGTAAGCAAACAAAAAAATACATGGGTAAACAACAAAGGAAAAGAAATAGTGAGAGACAAAAAAACATAGTTTAAAAAGTGGAAGTTAAATCCTGGTAAGGAATTGTCCCAGGTGTCATTTGAGGTGTCATTAGAGGAGGTTTTAGAACAAATTGGTAAACTTAACAGTAACAAGTCACCAGGACCAGATGTTGTTATTCACCCAAGAGTTCTGGAAGAACTCAAATGTGAAATTGTGGAACTGTTAACTGTGGTTTGTAACCTATCCTTTAATCAGCTTATGTACCTAATAACTGGAAGTTAGCTAACGTGACGTCAACATTTAAAAAGGTCTCTAGAGGTGATCCTGGCAATTTCAGATCAGTAAGTCTAATGTCAATACTGGGCAAATTAGTTGAAACTATAGTAAAGAATAAAATTTTTAGACATAGATGAACACAATTTGTTGGGGAAAAGTCAACATGGTTTCTGTAAAGGGAAATCATGCCTTACTAATCTACTAGGGTGCATCCAGACTGGCAAGATTTTGCGCAAAACTTGCCAGCTATCTACACTGGCTGCTTGAATTTGCGCAAGAGCGCTGACATTCTAATGTAAGAATTCAGTGCTTCTTGCTCAAATACTTTGACGCTCCCACTCAGGGATAAGCCTTCTTGCGCAAGAATACTTGCAGAAGAGGGCCAGTGTAGACAGGCACCTTAATTTTTTGCGCAAGAAAGCCCGTTGGCTAAAATGGCCATCGGAGCTTTCTTGCGCAAAAGCATGTCTATACTGGGCACGGATGCTTTTGTGCAAAAGCTCTTTGTACAAAAGCATCCGTGCCAATCTAGACGCTCTTTTGCGGAAATACTTTCAACGGAAAAACTTTTCCATTAAAAGTATTTCCGCAAAATCATGCCAGTCTAGACGCAGCCCTAGAGTTCTTTGAGGAGGTCAACAAATATGTGGACAAGAGGGATCTAGTAGATATAGTGTACTTAGATTTCCAGAAAGCCTTTGACAAATTCCCTCACCAAAGGCTCTTAAGTAAAGTAAGTTTTCACGGGATAAGAGGGAAGGTCCTTTCATGTACTGAAACCTGGTTCAAAGACAGGAAACAAAGGGTCGGAATAAATGGTAAATTTTCTGAATAGAGAGAGTTAACTAGTGGTGTCCCCCAAGAGTCCGTTCTGGGACCCAGCCTGTTCAACCTATTTATAAATGATCTGGAGAAAGGGGTAAACAGTGAGGTGGCAACATTTTCAGATGATACTAAACTGCTCAAGATAGTCAAGATCATAGCAGACTGTGAAGAGCTTCAAAAAAATCTCACAAAACTAAGTAATTGGGCAACAAAATGGCAAATGAAATTTAATGTTGATAAATGTAAACTAATGCACATTGGAAAAAATAATCCCTACTATACATACAATATGATGGGGGCTAATTTAGATATAACTACTCAAGAGAGAGATCTTGGAGTCATTGTGGATAGTTCTCTGATAATATCCACTCAATGAGCAGTGGTAGTTAAAAAAGCAGAGAGAATGTTAGGAATCATTAAAAAAGGGATAGAGAATAAGACAGAGAACATCTTATTGCCTTTATATAAAACTCACAAAAACTAAAGCATGCATTTGGTAGGAAAATTAACATGGTGCATATACATGCTAATGGAAGAATACATTTTCTGTTTGTTATAAGTAAAAATTGTGTAAGATGTAAAACTAATTTACTTGTAATCATCAGAATTTCTTCTTTTACATCAAGTTTATAAGATAGTGTACATGCCATCTTGCCTCACTTAAATCAGTGGGAATTATACTAGTCATTTCAACTGGATAATGACTGAGCCTTCTAGACAGTTTTTTTTCTTCCATTAGAAGTAACATTTTGTTGTTTTTCAGTACAAAATGGTTAAAGAATGTTAACTGACAGATGGGATGGGTCAAATTGAATTTTCATGCAGTCGTGAGATATGGAAAACAAATTCAGCTGCTGTAACTACTATTCAACTCATGCTTTCTCCATTATAGGTAGGAAAAACTCCCAAACCAGAGATGAAGAGAATTCTTGAAGAAATAGATAATATTAAGACGAAGGTAACCAAACAATTTTATTGTATAAAGGTAGCTAGGTGGATGCAGTAACAAAATCCAGAAGGCTAGATTTGCAAGTCTGTTTGGTCTGCTTTGCAGTGTTCCAGCAACACAAAGCAGCCCCAGAGTATGTTCTTTTCTTTAAAGAGAAATGTAATTCCTCCTCTCACTTCTCTAAGATCCTCCATTGACTTCAATGAGCTCTGGATCTGCCATCATTGAGAGCAGCACAAATATGACAGCAAAGCCTATCCTGAACTGTTTTTCAAATTAATGAGATAGTTACCTAAGGGCCTTCCATAGGCAGAATTCCCACAGAAGGCAGCTTAGTTTGCATAAGAATTATAGTATTAGGTCTAGATTTATTTAACACTGGAAGTGAATGCAACTACTGGATGTTTCCTAAAAATATTAGTCTGTGTGTGCTTGCCTTTAAGCACATGAGTACTGCAATTGATATGTGGGATCCAGTCCTGAACCTCTCCACTAGCTCCCTATTCTCTGTCACCTCAACTTTAAACTTCTTTCTCTCTTTTTATCCTCTAGTCCAGGGCTGGGGAACCTTTTTTGGGCCAGGGGCCACTGACCCACAAAAAAATCAGTTGGGGGCTGTGCAAAAGTGCGAAGCAAAAAAATAATAATAAAAAAACCTCATTGATGTGGCCCCCAAATGAGAAGAAGAAAGACACTCTAAACATTCTCCTTGCATAGCAGAGCCTGGGGTGGGGACAGGTTAGTAGATGTTGTGGTCCCCCATAGGCTTTGGGTCTGGCCAAAAATAAGAGGTTCAATGTGTGGGAGAGGACTCCTGGAAAGCAGGATAAAGATGTGGGACCAGGGCAGGAAGGAGGATGCAGAAGTGGGTTGGGGGTTGGTGAGTCTGGAAGGATGATAGGGTGCAGGAGTGGATTTGTGGTGTGGGGACTAGTTGCGAAGGTGGGTGCAGGAATGGGCTGGAGTTAAGAGGTCAGTCTGTGAGGTAGGGGTGGAAGGTCTGGGCAAGATGGGGAGGTTCAGAGCGGGAGCACCAACACTGGCTCTTCAGTCCCCGACCCAAACTTCAGGGGCTGGATCCAGGCAATGTAAATTCCCCACCTCTGCTCTAGTCCCTATATAACTCTACTTCTTCCTACTTATCCAATCCTGAGTCATTTATCACCCTCTCCTATACTCTCTGCTCTGCCAAAGACAACAGCCCTTAAAATTCCACTCATTTCTTACTCTTGCAAACACCTTTATAAACAACAGCTTCAATACCATAACCATAACCAAAAGTTCTTAAGAAAATAGGTGAACACAGTAATCTAATATGGTAAAAAAAACAGCAGTGAAGCTAGCCTCCTTAAATGGCACCTGAGATTCCTTAACTTTATCAGATTTTACACCTTGTTTTAGTAATAATGGAAAGGAAGATGTTCAGGTTTGGATAGTGAAAGCTAGCCACCACACATATTTCAAAGCAGTGTAGAATTGTGCTGTAGCTATTGAAACAGTTCAAGTAAAGCAGAGAAAGCATGGGACAAGGAATTATAAGATACTGTGTATTTATTTTGAAGTATTGTATTTATTACACTTATTTTTTCTTGGCAGATGATAAAGCTCTTTAACTCTACTTATTTATGTATAGGACAAGTTACTAAAAATGTCTTGGACCTAAATATTTCATGTACAGTCCTAATGGTTAGGTAAATGTACATTATGGTGATATGAGTTTGTCAGATGTTTCAAACTTTATTTGCAGCGGTGGACAGTGTGATAAAGTACATCTTATTTTATTTACATGGGTAATCTCAGCCTTGGGTTAGTGCTCATTTTTAGAACAGTAAATTGCAGGGCATATAAGGAGGAGACGATTAACCCATTACATATCATCCTTGCCCATTATTGCATGGAAACTTGGGTCTCTCTTTAAGCAAGATTCCTCTCTCTATTAGTGTTAGTAACAATATTTATTTTTATTTATTTAAGGGGAAAGAGGCTCCTTTTCAGAACTTTGATCCGTCAATTCTTTTCCCTAAATCTCGGGACTATTGGACGTACCATGGCTCCTTCACTACACCACCGTGTGAAGAGTGCATTACCTGGATTCTTCTGAGGGAGCCTATTATTGTCAGCTCAGACCAGGTAAACTTCAACTGGACATTAACCTCCCTAGTGTCATCATTCTTTCACAATTTGAAATGATTTATTTATGTGCCTCCCTGACCTTAATCTTTCAATAAGGAAAGCTCCCACTGGAGTCAGTGGGAAGTTGCATGAGTAATTGAGTTAAAACAAAGTGAGAGCTTTGAATTACAGGATTGGGTTCTTCAATTAGAAACTACTCATCTGGCTTTATTAGGAACACCACTGGGACTCTGAAAAGAGTTGTATAGGACTCCACTTTTCCCTGGGCCAGCTGTTCCATAGCCACCCAACCCAAGTGCCCTACTTCCCAGTCATTATATAATGCCAGTGGCAGCAGGTGGCAGAAGAGATCTAAATCTCTAGTTAAATTCCTCAATTGGAAAATCATTTTGGAAAATTGTTGGATCCCCTTCTTGACTACTTAGGCCATGTCAGTGGGGAGGGATCAAGCCACCAGATACCATGGACAGAGTATCATAAATCAGTTGTGATAGGCTGGGGGAGGGATGTAGTCACAGGGAGGTAGGAGGTGACCAGGAAGTGAATGTGAGAGTTTAGGGCTATGTGGAGGGGAATGATTGTAAGGCAAGGTGCAGTAGATTGAAAGAGAAGAAGGAGCTCTCACCACATCGGCAAGGAGAAGTAGTACCTTTCCCTTTCCTCTCTGTTTGCTCTCCTCTTACTTTAACCCCTGAATGCAGTAGATGGAGCTGAATGTGGCTTACCCAACTTCACATGGGGTCTTGCTGAAGCTAAAGCCTGTACTGCTCACACATCAAGCTTATCAACGTTTAAGCCACTAACCTAGATACTTCCACAGCAAGATAAATCAGCAGAACACTTGATGCATGTAGCAAAAGTTAAAGTTATGGATGTTTAAACCATTTAAATTTTAAAGGATTTTCAGTTAGAGCTGGTTGGAAGAAATAAAATTAAACTTTTTGTTGGAATTTGCCATTTTGTTGCAATCTAAATTAATGGCAGAGATAGTTTGACTTGGATGATGTTCTAACAGAACCCAGGCAGGGTTCTAATGGAGTCCTGCCTGCCCTGCTTGGTTTTCAGCCAGCTTGCTTGCCTGGCTTCTTGGCAGCCTGCCTGGTCACATCTGGAGAGCCCAAGCTTCTAGGTTCTTTTTTCCTCAACAGCCCACGTTTCTCAAAGGGGCTTTTCTCACAGGGGCTTTTCCTGTGACACGGCCTCCTGGGTGTTATGGCAGGGAGGAGAGGGTAGGA